TTTTTTGTGCTAAATCATGAAAGAATCTTAGGTTTCGTTGCAAAATTTCTTGAAAGCAGAAAAAAATAGTAGTTCAACAAACGTTTAGTTGAAACAAATACTTTAATGAGATGGGCATAACGTTGCTAAAAGTGCTTTGAAATAAGTCCAAATTAGCTTTAAAATCAAATGCTTGAAGTGAAGTTTGAAACTTCATGATATATTTGAGAGATTAAATGATCTCCTAATTATATTGTATATTTGTGGTAAAAATGAGGGTCACGATGAGAGAAATCCAATGAGTCAAAGATCTCTCAATTAAAGTATTTAAATTTTAAAAGAACAATATATAATTAAGAGAATAAGAACAAGTCATCCAATGGAGTGTTTAAAGATTTTGGCTAAATTGCCAAATTATATCTTTCAAAAATTATAAATAAACTCTCATTTCCCTTAAGAAAAAGTCATAATGTAACAACTCAAAATGTAAAAAAAAAATAATAATAATAAAGATTTGAATTCATGTTTTGTATATATTTACATGTATTTGGAAGTCTTTTAATGTTTCAAAATAATTATGTGTGTTCTAGAATGAGTTCTAAGGATCTTGAGTGAATTCAAGAAAAAAAAATGTTACTATTTGAGCGTCTCACCTCTTGGTGACCGAGGGGCTGTAGCATTGCTACAGTACCAAATGTCAAATAGTGACATAGGAGCGCTCCTTTCTATGTATTTTGGAAAAAAAATGAATTGATGCCGCAATGTTAGGCCATTATATTCATTTTTATATACTTTAAAATCCATTATTATGTTCATTCATTTGATCATAGCCGCCGAAGTAGAGAGGGGTTTTTGGAGAGTTATTAGAGAGAGAAACTGCGTTGTGAACCTCATCGGGTCATTTTTAGCCATTGGGTTAGTCAGGAAAGTTATCCAGATCGAGGTATGTCACATTATTTCTATCTCAGTTTTCAAAAAATATGATGCTTTTAAAAATTCTCCAATTAAATTTCTATTTTTGTTAGCAAAAATATAAATAACTTTGTACTGGTACAACTTTCAGAGTGTAAACTTTTATATGTTATTGTGATTGAGATTATGAATGTTTTGAGTATTTTATAAAAAAATTTATATCGTGTATTTTGGAATGTGTTGTTTTAATTGAATAGAAAATAATATGGACTTTAAAAAATAGTGTTGAAGTATGATTAAAGTCTTAAAATGATATTTTACCCAATCTTTGGTGCTTTCATTATGCTTTTGAAACTGTGCATTTTTACTCATAATGCATTTTGTTAAGTATATTATTAATACAATCATTGAGAATGAATATTATTATGTGATTGATTAATAGTTGATCATTATTGCTTTTATTGTAATGTATGCAGAAACATATTGATCTGTTGGTTGAAAATTGATTAACATGTGTATGATGGTGGGCTTATTGCTTTTCTTTTAAATATAGTGATTTTGTGTTATCCTTAACGATACAATGTTATAACAACTTTAAAGCAATGATTGGGAATTATAAGAAATTATTATGTCGATGGATAAAGAATGATGATTATATTTATTGTGCTAATGATTTTTACTAGCAGAATATCGACTAGTGAAAAACATTATGATAATCAAGACTTATTGGTTAATTAGTGTAACTACTAAAATTCATATAATTATGAATTCATTATTTATGTACAACTTTACTAATAATGTATTGACTTATTATTACTATAGGAATTAATGTTATAGCATTGATTTATTAGTATTGCCATTAGATTTACTGGTATTGATATGTACGTACACTGATACTATTATTAAACTATTGTTGATACCACTATTGATTCATTACTACTATTATTGTTATTGATTCACTGTACTAATTATTGATACTAAACACATGTTATACTGAGCATGCGATTAAGATATTGATATGATACTGATACTAATATAAAATAATTTGATAATATATATACATCGCCATAAGACTTTATTGCATTTATCTTAGTTTGACAGTTCTTTATCGATGTTTTGGTTTTACTGCTTTATATGATTGCTTTACTGATTGATATTAATGATATGATGACGTCTTTATTGATTGATTTGACACCCATACTGATTTAGTGATTTCTTCACTATATTGCTTTATTGGCTTTTGCATCATATTATTTTACTTTTTACATATTCTATTGCTATTACATGTGAGTTTTAATGTTTCAGTACTAAATCCTGATCATATAATTATTACTATTATGAATTGATTGATGACATGCATATTGCTTCTCTATCATGCTTTAAATTCGAGTGATAGGATTTTAGTGACCTGTTGAGCTGTTTAACTCATTGCATGTGATTTAAATGATTTCAAATCTATTTTGCTATTTTGTACTTATGACAGAATAATTATAATATCATTCTATAAATACTGAGTGGTTTTTTTTTTTTTTTTTTGAGAAAGGAATACATGTGTATATATTGAGTTTAGATCGATAGTTTTATTTATACTGCTATTTATATCAATAAAAAAATTAGATAGCTCTAATTGTATAAATTAAAAGATAAAAGAAATAGTTCTTTCAAATTAAATTTTAGGGCATCACACCAGTATTGCACGAAGATCCAACACACAAACAAATAACTTAAAAACACATGAATTTTTACGTGGAAATTCCTGAAAAAAGGAAAAAAATCATAGGGTCACGCCTAGTTGAAATGATTCTACTATTATTTGAACATGTTACAAAGATTACCCCGTCCTTAAACTTGAGGAAAATTGAATTACAATAGTCCAGGGAAGTCGGTTGAACTTCTTGTGGTAGAGCGAAAGTTGGATGACTGTCGAGCAAAAGTCCAGTAATAGCCAGTGTCCGAGTTGAAGTCCAACAATGATCGGTGGCAACGAAGCAATACGATGACGATCAGTGGCCAGGCAGAAGTCCGGGTGTCAAAGAGATTGGTGGCAAGAGAGCTCCCAAATTTCTCTTTCTCTATTCTCTTCTTTTTCTTGCTTCCCTCTCCTTTCAATGAAGAATAAGGGGTCTATTTATAATTTTATGAGAGTGACATGAATAATAAATAGGGAGAAAATGAAGGCAAGTTGAATGTGTTTCAATGGATGACCAATATCAACTCCCTCGATTAAAGACTATTTATCAAGTATTTGAGTGTTTTAATGATGTTAGAATTCAAACATCTTGGGCTCGTTGGATTCATCTCGTCAAGTCGCTCGATTTGGCTATAAACACGTCACATTCAGATATCATTTGATCATCCAATTAATATTATGAAGTTTTCAATTATGCTTTGGTCCTCTGATTTGGGTTCATTCAAGTTTGAATTGGATCAAATTTGGTGCCATTGTCTCGTCTCCTTGAGATATTCAATTAGACTATAAGTTTGCTGAAATCGGAGTTCAAACAATTTTGGAAGTTTTCAATTTGTATTTGCCTCGAGATTTGTGCCTGATAAAGATAATTTTTTGATGATATATCAAGTCTCTTATGTAAAACATATGGTGTTCTTGTTCTCTTTGCACTGAATAATGCATTCACATATTAGTCTAAAACTGATCACATGGGGACTATTTATTTTGCTAAAAAGGAAATGCATAACATAGCAAAGTAGATATAATTAACATAAAACATTTTTTGAATTACTTGATTGAGTACAATATAGGGCATTGATTATTTTTTGTGTTTAACTTGAAATAAATTGAATTTAATATAAAATTTTATTGCAACATTAATGGGGTGGCAAGAAGGCGCGGAGGAGCAGTGGTGGTGGCTGATGAATGTGATGGCCATCAAGCCTTCACATTTTCAATGCAAGTGAAATTCAGCCAAATCAGGTGAATTCAAAATACATAGAAATTAAACTCGCCAATTTATTCCAAATACTTTTTATTTTGCATTTACTTTCTTTCAACCAAGAACCTCATAATCTACTCTCTATTGACATGATTTTTTTTTCATGCAATTATATTGTAATTTTTTAGTTTAAATGTATTTCTTTTTACTATTATTATATATATCACATTAAAAAATTAATAAAAAAAATATAGCATTGATTTACCTATAATTTTATTTAATAGCTCATCAAATATGCAATTTGCAAACAACAAATAATGACAGGCATTTTCATTAGAAAGACTTCTTAACTTATCTTGATCAGCTTGTTGAGCCCAAGTTTACATTTAAGTTGATTAGTCAGTCCTAAATAATTGAATAAAACTAATGATCACAATGATGATCATACTTTGTAGCTCAAGTGCTTCATCAGTTATTTTTTAAAATGCATGCATTTGGTGAAGATCCAATCAAACAACTAAAACTTGATAAAAAATGATTTTAAACATATTAAAATATCTCGCTCTACTCTACCTCGTGTTTATGAGATGGGCTCGTGCGATAATTTTTGTGATGTGAGAGGGGTTCAGGGAAGATTGTCGATGATGCGGGGGTTTGGGGGAGAAAGACAACGAAAAGAGGTGAGACTGGGTGTAACAAGGATGCTTGAAGGCTATTTAGGGCGACAAGAACGGTTCATGATGACGAAGACAAGAATTACAGTGTGATGCAGTGTGAAGGGTGAGAATAGTGTAATACGGAAGAACTACGAGCCTATTTAGAGCGATAGGAGCGGAGGTGTTTAACGTATGTTAGAACTTCGAAGACAATGACAAACAATATAAAAGCTCAAGTGAGTATTGGTCTAGATTTGAACATTATCTATTTACTTTATTTTCAAAATAAAGAATAAGATATTTGAATATTTATAATATCTTGCAAATTTAAATTGTATTTATTTTATATTAAATAAAAAAAATATACAATATACCTCAAGGATTCTTTTCTTAAGGAAAAAGTTATACTTTTTTAGCAGTGCAGCATAGATCTACCGACGCGTTAAAAAATTAGGGTTTTTGGTGCGAACCGTAATTACATCTTTACTGGAAAAGATGCGAAAAAAATAAAAAAAATCCTGTTTTGGAGGCGGAGTCGTGGAGCTATTTGAATCAACGTTTCCCATGACCATAACCCTCTCCTTCTCCTGTGGCGGCGCTCGCTCCTAGCTTACTTCTTAGGGTTTTTCCTGAAATCTCTAATTTGAACTCCTCAGCCTCTCTGCATCGTGCCATCTTTCCCTAGTGTTAGGGTTTCGATCTATCATCCTACACCGTCTTGGTATCTAGTCGCGCTTCTATCCCAAATCTTCTGCGCGAGTTCCGATTATGGCGGCTGTTGCCCCTGCTGCAGATCGTATCCTTATCACCTGCCTTTGCTGCCTATATTTATGGATTTTGTTGCTTACATCTGGTTGTGTTTTTATTGGATCTGAATCAGACCTGCGCTGTTTCATCAGTATTTCTTACGCACTCTACTTTCGAGGGTTTTGGGAGGTATTATTGCGGATCGAACGCCTGTGTTTGGAGCTATGGAGTTTTTTGTGGTGAAGCTTAGTTTTTTACTCTTTTTCTGGAAAATTTTTATCGAATCCCTCATGTTAGTTCGTTTTATTAGGGAAAAAGATCTCCTTGTATGTTATTTTTTTCTTTTGACTTTTTTTCTGGCTTGCCTATGGTTTTTGAACTTTGTTGACTTTCTTTTCCTGATTGCTTCAATCTTTTGATATGCCATCAGGAATCGGGAAATTGGTTGGGTGTTTGGATAAGTTTTCATTCCCGTCAATCTTATTTGTAGTGGATGTGTTGGTCCTTAATCGGGTTTTTTTCACAGAAGCTACAGATTTACTGCAGAAGCTGACGTTGGAATCCAAGAGCAAGACTCATGATGCTCCTGAGGTTACTAAGAAGGTATTTCTGCTCCTCTAAGATTGTTTTTCTTGATATCGCGAACTTGAATTCTCTCTGAAATTCGATATATAGCTCCGTGATGGATTACTGATGTTTTATGGTTAAACTGGGCAGCCTTCTGGGATCCAGTATGGGTCAGCAAATGGTGTGGAAGCACCAAAGGTTCAGATCCCATCATCAGAACGATCTGTGACCCCTGTTCTTCCGGAGTACATGGATCATAATATATGGTATCTGCATAACGGTTATCCATCGTCAGCTTATTATTATAGAGGTGAGGATAAGTTTCCATAGTTTCTATGCTACTTAGTCTTCTAAGCATTCATAGTTATTGTTTGCAGTATCCAACCATGTAGTTATGATTTGATTTTATGATAAATAGTTTTACCGTTCATAATAGGTTTTCCCTTCTTTTAATTGTCATTTTATCCAATGAGTTATAACTACTTGCATCGTCCCCAACCTTGAAACTCCTTTATTGTAAGTGCAGTGCTATTTTGGTTGCTCTAGCTTTATTGCTTGTATTTAACTTTAATTAACTATCTCTAGAATGTTGCAGGTTATGATGGTTCGATGGGAGATTGGGACGAGTATTCTAGATATTTAAACCCTGAAGGAGTGGAGGTGCCACATGTAAGAAACCTTGCCACTTAAATTTGTATCCACCAAGATTACTTTATTCAAACTTGTGCAGTTTTTGCCATTTTCATGTAAATTTTGAATTTGTTGTTTTTTATTAATTTTATACTACCTTGTAGTGAATGTTTATTTATAACGGTATATTGCGTAGTCTTTACCAAAACCTTCTTTTTTATTTGTTAAAACTGGTTTTTTAACTTGTCATTGCAGCATATATATTTGTATTGACTTATCTGCATTCAAGCACAACATTTGAAGAGTTGATTTTGCTTATTTTTATTGCTCTGGTTTGAGAATTCAAATTCACTTTCTGATGTTATTCATGTTTTCAGGGAGTTTATGGTGATATGTATCACCATGGATATGGATATACACCTTATGGTGCTTATCCCTCTTCTGGTTCTGCTGTTCCATCTCTTGGCCATGACAGCCAAATGTATGGTGCTCAGCATTATCAATATCCCTCTCCATATTTCCAGCCACAAGCAGTCCCAAATGGGACATACTCTTCAAACAATGCTCCTACTTCTCAGGCAGAAGTAAATTCACTTGTGGTTGCAGATCAGCCTCCCGTACCCGTGGACGCTGCCAAATCAAATTCAAATGGGGTCAATAATGTGAGTGCCACTGCGAATGGTGGTTCTGCGTCTCTAAAACAAGGCCAGCAAAATTCAACCTTGACTTCAAATGGTTCATATGGTAGAGGCGTTTTACTTGGTGGACACCCCTCTCCTGGATACCAGGACCCAAGGTTCAATTTTGATGGTATGCGGTCACCCATTCCATGGTTTGATGGATCTACTTTCTCTGATGCCTATACTAGATCAGCTACAAACAATGCTGTATCTTCGACTGCTTCGCATAATGCTAATTCAGCGCCATCAAGAAATCAGAATGTACGTTCTGTACCCCAGCTCATGGTATGCAATTTTTTTATCTTTTTTGTAACAAACAGTGATAATTTGTATGCATATAGCTTTTGCCCATTGCTTCCATTTCCGAATTTTTTTTAGTTTTCTTGTTCTATTGGTAGTGATCTCATGTATTTAGTTTGGTTTTGTGTATGTTCATAGCTTCTCTTTTATTCAATTGTTTTCATTGATGCTAATTAAGTAATCAAGATGAGTTAATGTGGCAGCTCATGTGCAATTCAACTTGTTTCAGGGCTTGCATTCTCCGCGACCGGCACCTGGTATGGGCCCAGCAGCTCATGGTATCATTAACAGGATGTACCCAACCAACCGAATGTACGGGCAGTGTGGTAATGCATTTAGATCTGGAAATGCTTATGGAACAAACATCTATGACTCCAGAATCAATGGTCGTTGGGGTATGTTTGTGGATGGAAAATACAAGCCTAGAGGCCGCGGTAATGGCTATTATGGCTTTGAAAATGATAATGGTGATGGATTAAGTGAATTAAACAGAGGACCAAGGGCTAACCGCTTTAAAAATTACAAGGCTCCTGTATCGACGATTACTATTGCAGCAAAAGGGCAGAGCCTCCCTCCATATGAAAATGTCGAGGATCCTAGTGTTGTTTCTGGCAGAGAGCAATACAATAGAGCTGATTTCTCTGATAAATACGCAGAGGCCAAATTTTTTGTCATCAAGTCATATAGTGAAGATGACATTCATAAGAGTATCAAGTACAATGTCTGGGCCAGCACACCCAATGGCAACAAGAAACTTGATGCTGCTTACAAGGAGGCAAAGGAAATGGCAATTGAATGCCCAGTGTTTTTGTTATTTTCTGTAAGAGCAAAACCTTTTCCTAGTAATTTTACCTACTTTTGTTTTACTTGCTTGTTAGTGAAATTTTGAATTGGGTGATAACAGGTAAATACAAGTGGACAGTTTGTTGGTGTTGCGGAAATGGTTGGGCCAGTGGATTTCAATAAGACCGTTGATTATTGGCAGCAGGATAAGTGGAATGGTTGCTTCAATGTGAAGTGGCACATTGTCAAAGATGTACCTAACAACATTCTGAAGCACATTACAATAGAAAGCAATGACAACAAACCAGTTACAAATAGCAGAGACACTCAGGAAGTATGGAAACATTAATTTAGAACTTCCTTATCAAAAGTTTAGTAATTGATTCTGAATTATAATATTCTCTTCATCCTTAAATTTTTTTTTGTATTACTTTTTGCAGGTAAAGCTTGAGCAAGGCATTCAAATTCTTAAGATTTTCAAGGAGCATACCAGCAAGACTTCCATTTTGGATGATTTCGGTTTCTATGAAACTCGTCAAAAGGTTATCCAAGAAAAGAGGGCTAAACAGCTGCAGCATAGCAAGCTGGTATAGTTTGAGTTTTGTTTTGATTTGCCTCAAACTCTTCATTATTCATCGTTGCAAAGTAATTCCTCTTTTTCTTGTTGCTTCCATGGTGATACGTTGGGATTTGCCATATCATTGCTGTCTTTGAACTTCTTGACACGCTTGATCTTTGCCTTAGATTTGATTGATGGAATTATGAACGTACTTTCTTATTGAAATTCTAACTTTCTGCTTTTTGCTTGCTTTGTGGATAATTATGTTTCATGAAAATATTGTTTTCTGAAGCTTGTTTCTCTTTCTGATTGCTTTTGGCAGATTGTTGACTTAAAACCAGTGGACACTGTTGATGAAAAGAGCAAGGATGGAATTAATGGAAACCCAAGATTGCAGAAGCCTTTGGAATCAATTACAGTTCTAAAGAAGGAAGTCATTTCAGTTGGCCTTGGTGAACGGAAGCCTTCCGATGATAATTCCTTGCCTGCAGTCTCCATTGATGCCTCTAAGGGAGCAAGACCAGCACCTGAAAAGCGGGTAGTGACAAACAGTGCTTCAAATGGCTGCTAAGCTCAACCTTCAATACAACTGTAGCCTTGGTTTTGTGTCAAAGTTTGTTTCAGCGTCTTGCTGGTAGTGAAGTTGATGCTAAGTATTCAACCGCTAAAGTTTATCTGAATCTTCCAAGGCTGCTTTGTTAACAGATCAAATTGGAGCTCTGTGATAACGTTGGGATCATCTTTTTCAGTTCAGTTCAGTGTTGTTCGAGTCACTTTTAGTGAACCTTGCTATAGTTGGTAGAAGCTAATTACCCTTTCTTCTATACTTGCCTGTTTTGCAATTTAGGTAATATTTGCTAGTGAATGCCTTTTTTTGTTTTCTTTAATGTCTTTGGTGGTTTCATTTCCTTTTCTATCTTGCTTTTTTATTGCCATCTTTGTGTTTTATGGGTTTTAAGTATTTGGGGTGTCAGACGGTGGGTTTGAGTGTCGTTCCATGTAGCTTTTTAGTTTTGTAAAGAGGCCTTCTCTGCTTTTGTATCTATGAGAATCTGGAAACAGATCCTATACTATTTCTTCAATGCAATGCAGGAGTTTAAAGGCCAAATACTCATCTTGTCGTGTTTTATTTTCTGTGTATCCAGTCTTTCTTTAAGCTTTTCCTGGCCCTAAATGTTGTGAGCTGTTTTGAGATTGTATTGCTAAACAAAAGATTCCATGCTGCCTGCCAAAAACACCAGAAATTATTCTATGCCATAACTGGATGGTACAAAGGCGAATTGAGAAGTGCCATGTTTTCCGGTACACAGCACCTGTACACAGCAAAAAAATGATATGGCGCTTCTTGATTCGCCTCTGGACGCCGTCCAGTGACCGCACATAAATTTTTCCAAAAACACGGGGTCATTCTCCAAAAACACGGGGCTGAATGACATGATTGGCAAGTGTTTCTATCAAATGCTTAGAGAATTAGGAGAATATAATTTACTTTGCCCTCTTTTCTCAGGGTTGAATATTTTTGCTGATTTTGTATCTATGTTTCCACAAGTGTTTGTTTTGGATGACCAGTTTTGAAAAACTTCCATGTAGAGGTTGGAGAATACTCACCTTACATTTCAATTTAAGGAAAAAAATAGCATCTTAGCTGAATCAAAGGTAGCTAATGTTCATTCAACTGACCATTGCATGGAAAAGTCATGAAATATTAGAGAAAAAAAGGTCAAAATAGTTTCTGTATTATTTGTATGAGATTTTTCTACAATTGTGGGTGAAATTTTGCTGATATTTGGAAAAATTGCTGTTCAGCTGCTAGTAGAAAAGTGTGGTAAGCTGCCATTGAACTTGTTAATATTTCAGATAAGTTGCAGGCAACATAAAAGGCAACCACTGTTCAGTCAAAACCCAAAGGGGACCAAAATAAGCAATAAAATTGCAAATTAAACAGACAGGTTGCAGGCAACAGAAAAGGTCATCGAGGTCGCAGCAGAACACACCAATTAAATGCAGCTGCAGATAGCCATGTTGCTGGTAACACTTGAGGTAAACAAGATGCAGACAAATCTGTCATTTCAAAACAAACAGACAAATTAAATTTTATATGGCTATTCTTCCAAAAAAAATTTTGCTGGCTATCCTCCATGTGATACAAAAGTAGCCAAATTGTAGAGAAATTTTATCTTTAAAGGCACCGCACAAGCTTATGATGATCTGCTACTGAGAAATTGAATTGTAAGCCAAAGATGGGAGAAATTATTTCGTGGGGACATTGAAGGTGAATCAGAACATGTCATCATGTCATTCGAAATGTGGCACGTTCTGACTTTTCTCATGATGACGTTCGTATCTACACAGAATAATTTTATCAAAGATGGACATCTTTATTTCTCTTTATTTTTCTGTAATCAATGAGTTTCTTACTTCCTCGTTAGTGGTTAATAGTAGTAGACACTATTTACATTAGTGTAAAAAGTCTTAGCTACACAGGTGGATTGATGGTTTCTTTAGAAGGTGTGTAAATGGGCTGAGCTGAGTATTTGCTTGATTGAGTTGAGCTTGTTTAAATTTTTATGAGCGTTGGGACTCAACATGAGCTCATTTATTTGGCTTGATCTCAACTAACTAAAAAATTTTTAGGCTTGAGCTTGATTTGATTGCTGAGTTTGATTTTTTTAAAAATTAAAATTTTAATTTTTTTAGGAAGAATTTAATGAAGTTAAAATATATTATATAATATTAATTTAAAAATATTTAAGATAATTGAGTGGCTCAACTAGCTGAGCTAGGTTGAGCTCAAATATTTGCTCAAGGTTGAACTAGTGATTCAATAGGTTTGAACTCTTGGTTTGTTAATGAGTGGAGTTCGAGCAGGTGCTAGGCTCACTTAAACATCTATTTTCTAGTGTTAATTAAGCATATTTTGAGATGTATTATTATTATTATTATTAAAGCATGTTGCATTTATGAATGTTATGTAATTGGGCACTTTTTGATTAATTTGTAAATTTTAATCAATTCAAAACAAAAGCATTAAATATGGGGAAACAAGAAATTGAACACATAAGACAATGGTATGTAATTGTAGGTGTACAATAAATATATGTACCTATAAACAATGTTAACACAAGAATGAATGAACTATATGTATGGTATATACAATTTCATTCAAATATATTATAGCATAAATGAACATGTCAGCTAATAATACAATACCATGCAGCACCACACAAGCAATCAATGGTGTTGAATCACTTAGGTTTTGTTTGGAATGACTTTCTTACTGTTGCTTTAAGAAGCAGTAAGAAAGCCATCCCAAACGAAGGTTTCGTTTGGGACGGCTTTTTTATTGCTTCTTAAAATGGTTTTCTTATACAAAATTTTTAATTTTTGTACTAGAAAGTTGCTTTTAGAAGCAGGAAGAAAGCCGTCCCAAACGAAGCCTAAGTCTTAGACTTATGAGGTAAACACCTATCAAAAAATGTGTGAATCAAAAAGCTGCAGTAGACCTTAGCCTTATTGTACAACAAGTTCAGCATTAGGTAGAGGCTCCAAGTTTCACAATTTCACAAAGTTTGATGATTGAGAATTCTTTATCAGTCACATCTTCTCCATCAACACATTGAACATTTGAAATAACTCTTTGCAGTGTGTTGTTCTATGTAATTATAAGCCCTTTCAAATCCGCCTTCTAAATTATTTGGACAAAGAGTTTCACTTTTCATTAATGGCAATACTTGCTAAATGGGAAAAAATTTTATATGCGGATGTCGAACGTCATCCGGAGACCAACAAGAATGCGATACATCATCTCTTTGCTCGGTACCGCTGATATGACTACACCTTATTCATCTTCGGATGTAAAACTACGTTTGACATCCGCACATAATAATTTCTGTGCTAATGGATCATGAACAAAATACATGCTGCCATTTGTTTGGTTTTAATAAAAATTATACCTTGTAGGATAAAGGTAGGCTTCACAGCTCAACAAACCTCTTCTCCCTCTCTTTCAAGTTTTAAAAAAACTGAGTAATCCACTCTTAGTTCATCTCAACAGTCCAGTTACTGACATCTGTTCAGAAGAAACGCATCTGCAAATGAGCTATTCAACCTTGTTCTGAATTATTTCTTATAAAAGTGAGTGAAAGCAGAACTGGAGTCAAGTCTATGATGAAATATTTGGCTCTATGGTGTAGAGGCGATTATAGCTCTAATTATATAAATAATTTTGAATACAGAATGAGTAAAATCTAGATCAGTTTTTGTGGAGATATGTCGGCAATTCAACTGAAGCTCTAACAATCAATCAGGCACAAAGTCAAATTGAGACAGATGATGACTATAAATAGATGAAAATGCATTAAATATTTGATTAATCAATTACTTGTGGGTGAACAAAGAGATATTTCTACTTTGGCTTAGAAATATGTATATAATAGCCTTTTATGTAAGCTTATGGATCATCTCCATGCTTTATATGATGCCAGCTATTAGAGCTGTTTCTAATATATAAAGACTGAGTACATACAATACTACTTTAATAGTTTTATGATAACTTAGGTTTCATTTGGGATGATTTTCTAACTGCTTCTTAAAGCAGCTTTCTTGCACAAAAGTTTTAATATTTTAATAAAAAAGTTGCTTTAAGAAGCAATAAGAAAGCCGTCTCAAATGAAGCATTAGTCATCATCACTAAACTTTGTTTGTCATACAAAATATTTAAAAAATTATTAAGGTTTCGTTTGGGGCAGCTTCTTAATTGCTTTTGAAAATGAAGTTTTAGTACTAAAACTCCGTTTTAAAAAGCAATAAAAAAGCTCTCTCAAACAAAATCTAAATTTGTTTTAAATATATATAAGAAGCACTGCCATGATGGCATGGACACCCTAAACCCTAAATGACAAAAGAAACAACAACGACACTCATAAACAAGAAAATCCAATTCCTTAGAATGGGGAATTCTCACTAGATAGAAAGCATTGCATTGCATGTAATAAAAATGAAAAGATAGACCATTGAGGAGCATTTGTCCATAAGCAACCAAAACAAATGAACGTTCAAGATAATTAAAAAAGACTACAATGGAAGATAGAATCACACTCTAATATTAAATTTGTACATTTCTAATCTTCTAACCCAAACTGATTAGAAGGTATGGCCATCCTCATCTCCATGACCTTCTTGTGTGAATTTGAATGCTTGTAGCTCACAAAAGTTGGGCTCTTTGCAGGCCTATACTCTGGCAATAGTCTGCCAGACTTGAACCTCACACCACATGCATTGCAGAGAGTTTTGGGCCCCAATGGACCTGCCCTCCACTGAGGAGTCTTCTGTGAGAGGCAATGAGTACATTTCCTTGGCTGAACTTGTCCTTGATCTTTCCCCACTTGTTCTTGTGCTCCAACTTCTTCTTCAATGGTTTTTGCTTTAGGGTTCTCATCAAAATCCTTTTTTGGAAGAAGGAGCTCACTTTCTGCGAGCCAGTAGGCTTGAGGGAGAAGGGGAGTGTTTTCCTCCTCGAAAAGTGTCAGCTTTCTTCTTTTGGTTTTGGTCTTTGTTGAGAATTTCATGTCATTAGATGAGGAGGATGAGGATTTAAGCTTTAGGGTTGGAGGTGGTGGTGGATTGGTTGAAGGAGTTTGGTTTTGTGGGATGGAGAAGGTTGTGTTTCCAGAGAGGCAATCTTCCATGAAGATAGATAGCCATTCTAGGCTCACATCGTCATTTTCTTCTTGTTCCTGCATGAAAAGAAGATGAGAGGAGTTTTCAGGTGAAGAACTTAGAATCATGGCTTTAGAAATGGAGTAGATGAAGAAGAAGAAGAGGAAAATATGTCAATTTGAGGGAATTGTGAAAATTTAAAGATGTGGAGTAAGAAGGAAATGCTGGGGCATTCGTTTAAAGCAACAGGATCAGAAGCATTTCTTGAGGTAGAAGTAAAGTTATGAGGCAGAAACTGCAGACTGGTAAAAAGTTATTCAGAGATGAAGATGGGAATAAAGTAATTCAAGCTGAAAAACTAAAGGATTCGCTTTAAAAAAATGGGTGAAATGCTTGTTCTGTTCTAATGGTATTATCATCTGCCTTTCAAAGAAATAGCCAACTCTTCAATTCCCCACAATAATGGAAAACAAAACCACATTTAGTTGAAATTTTGAAAATTTCTCAGAAAGAAAGTAGAAAGAAACAAAATTCATATAAACTGAACAAATTTTGATAAGATTAAAAGATATCAGACATAAAAGATGGGAAAAAATCACTCAAGATAAAAAAATTGCATGAGTTACTACAGGAAAAAGAGGAAATTGCTTGTCAAGCTCAATGTTATTATCTTCTACCTCTAAACAAAAGGCGAAGGTTCAAATTCCCTCCAAAAATATGGAAAAGTAAACCAAACTAATTTGAAATTTACAAAAATAAATTTGCAGAATGCTGAAGAAAAAAAAAAACATCTTGAATTGGAAACTTAGAGAAAAGTAAATGACCAAGCTACTAGAAATCTACACCAGCCTCAGAAATTATGATGAAAATTTTCTGTTTCTCCATAGAAAATGGAAGCATTCAAAACTTCTATACTTTAAACAAGGAGCTAACCATTACAGGTTCATTAGGAGAAATCTCGGAGTGGTAGCTCTTCTGAAGGCAGGCAGAAACCGAAGCATTTGAGAAGGAATCCATCGCTAAAGAACTCAATTCAGATGTTGGAAAATGAAGAGACGCCGAGGTAGAGAAATGGACACAGTAGAACAGAGCAAGAGAAGATAAATAAAGGTGGGGTTTTTATGGGACCTCCTCTCTGATATTTTTATAGTGATTGTCCTATTTGCCTTTTCTTTTCTTCCCTCCGCATTCTTTTGTCGGTAGAGAACCCACACACTCAAAAATCCTTCCCTCCCTATTCTCTCTTTCTCACTCCAGAAAAAAATACTACACAGTAAAAACGCATTAACAAGGAAGTTTGGACCACCTGGATCAGATAAGAGTAAACTGCATTATAAAATTTGGAAAATTCAGAAAGAAATTTATGTGTACAATCTTACCTCAACAATCACAATAAAAAAAATTAATTTTTACATCAAATAACAATAATTGCACAAATCTCAAGATTCCTGCTGCAGTTACTGTTCTTGAACTATGATTAAATTCAGCTACATGTACAACACATGTTCTTACTTCCAAAATATCCAAAACTGTTGATGACACCATAATGAACTTTCCTCATTTCTGCAAAGGGGTTTCTGACATTTTTTCGAAGCTCCTAACTCAGTCCTTTATTCGTTTTTCTTTCATTAATAGACTAGTCAAATTTATCAGAGTTTTATGATTTTCTATGTGTTTTTGTGCAAATTGTTTTTTTGGGAGAGTGTCACATTTCTCTTTCTTTTCCTAAGAAAAACCAATGCCAAATTTGTGTTATAAACAGAGAGAGTTAGTTGCCTCTTCTATCGGCTTCTGATGATATTCTTTCCACAAAAGAGCTAAGTAGAATAAGCACCCAACTGAACAGTGTGAGCAAATTTGTCCTTAGAGCAGGATTGGTGATTATTTTCTCAGATTCTCTTTGGTATTGTTCCAGTTATGAACTCATTTGAGAGCACTGTGCTACAGAAATTTTAAGTATTGATTGCTCCTTTGATAATGGTCAAATGGTTTACTACCAAATAGGAAATATACACAAGTAAAAACAAAACTAAACTAAAAAAAAAGACCAATCTTTAGATGTTCAAATATCGTACAAAAAACTGTTAGGCCGGCCCAGGAGGGGCCGGTTGAACTGATCCAATTTGGACCGGTTCTCTGCTACAGTAGGCAGCCCAGGCTAGGTGGGGGGCGGAACCAAGGGGAGGGGGCGGATGCCCTAGTGGGCCCAATTGCTTAATGTAATTGCTATTTAGAAGGGAAAGTTTGAATTAAAGGCAGTTTAGTCTTTTTGTAAGAGTCCTTTGGCTTTAATTAGCCTTTTTTGTTAGATTTTAACTTTTCATCTTGAATTTGAAAGAGATTTGAGATCTAAGGTTTGTTCTTCTTGGGCTCTAGGCGTTGCTAGAGATTTGGAGAGTTGTTTCTTTCTCTCGAATCGAAGAAACTTGTATCTTGTGTTGCTTTTCTTGTTCGTGAATTGAATAGAAGAAGTTTCCTTGTGTTTCTTTCCAGTTTTTTTGAAGTTTTTTGCTTCATCTTGCTGATGTCTCTCTAAAATCAGAAAGATTTCCCGTTGTTTTCACCAATTTATGTTAGTTTTGCTTGCGAACTCAAGTATTTCTCTTAGGGTTATTTGTGAACTCAAATATTTTCTATCATAAACCATTAATAATCAAGTAGCTACTGTTGGGAAAGTGATTTTAGCACCACAAATATTACGAAGTAGCTTGCTATCGAATTCAAATCATCAACAAATTATTTATATATTTTTCTAATTGATCATAACTACTTCATGTATATACTGTTTTAGCTTCTACTATAATGGAGATGATAAAATTTTTCAAAAAAAAAAAAAATTAATTTCTTAAGTGAAATCTTAGGAAATGTTATTTTCTCATATTATTTAAATTTTTATTCTAAGATATTAATTAGGGTTTACAACACAAAGAAGATTTGGGCAATAAACTATTTACAAGATTGGCTTTCCAATGTTTCTATTGAGGGAAAGCTAAATAATTAAAAAAAACGGATAAATGGGAATGGATCTCTATTGGATTGAAAACCTTAGGGTTTATTTGTATTTTTCTTAATTTTGTTCAATTTATAATATAAAATAAAAATATATTTGACATCCTAAATAAGTATTATTTTTATTTTAATTTTTATTAAATACTGTATAATGTGTGCTTATATTAAGAAAGATAGAGATATACCTAAAAAGACTTAGGCTTCGTTTGAGACAATTTTATTATTGCTTTTTAAATCAGTTTTTTAAAACTAAAAAATTGTTTTAAGAAGCATTAAAAAAGCTGTCCCAAATAAAACCTTTGTTAGAAAGTATTAAAAATGAGTTTTTTATTAAATTTAAATAAGAATATAACTCTTAATAAAACACAATTGAGAAAAAGAATTTATGTAGCTTATCTATGCAGATGAAGGCTCATGGTGATTTTTATTTTTAAAAAAGTGGAAATATTTTAAAATACCTAAAAAAAATTTAAATATTTTTAAAAATAACTTTTTTTAAATAAAAAAAACAAAATAAAAACAGTTTTCTTTTACAATTTACAATAGTAATCGAAATTAATGGAAGATGCCCAATAGGAATTCCTTTTCTTTTACAAAAGTAGAAATTGAACTGATCTCTTTAACCTCTTTCTCTTATTACATCTAAATAGTCAGCAGCACTGTATCAGGGCGAGGTTTCTTTCACGGCACCACTTCTCTAGGCAGATTCCTCTTCAAAGCCTTGAATTATAATAGCCATGAAACTGTAGTGGAAATTAGAGGTTTTATAGATTTAAATTCAGGATTTTGATAATAAAATTCAAATATTTTTATCAATTAAATTAATTATTGAAAATGGGCAAATTAAACTTCACAAACTTAATAGTTGGGTATTTAATAGGTAGCCAGTGGGTCATAACAAATGAACTTGTAACTTGTGGTCCCACAAGGGAGCTCACTCAAGGATTATAAGGCACAACTTAGTCGAACACTTCGAAGGGGATCGCTTCTCACAAGGGCAATCAAGGGTCCTCATGGGTTATTTGTCATTCGCCCTCCACCAAGGGATGGCTACTCTCCACTGTCTGTCACGAAGTGCCACCAACTATGCCCACTCTGGGATCCTTCTCTACAGGAAAACATTCATCTGAGAGAGTTTCAATTCACCCAAAACAGTTATATGACCACATAGCACATCATTTCTGCAACCTAAACGCACTCACCTCCTACTAATAGACTACTTGGAGCTCCACCTCAACTCGCCACTGTCGTCAAGACATTACCAACCACGACCCTCTCGAATCAGCACTTACTAGCAGATTTGCCCACACCTACTCACCCTTAAGTACTCGACACTACATAACATGTCTAAAGGCAGAGAAATGGTGATTAAGAGGAGGATGACATTAAGAGGAGCAGTCATCCTCCAAGCCAATCAAGATGGGACATTTGTCTAGGGAAGTCTAGATGGGTAGTCATTATCTTATGTGCATTTAATTATTTTTATATATGTAATATTTTTTGTAGCCTTTAGATCTCTATAAATAAAGAGTGAAAAAGAATATTTTAGATCTTTTGTATCTTTGACCGCTTACATTACAGATATTTAAGCTAGTAAACTATTTCCTACAGTCCTGTCCCCTCTCCTCTCCTATAGCTCGTCTGCTAATACAGTCTGATATTACCCACAGATAAACTTGGATCCAACATTTGGCACCCACAAAAATTACAGATTATCTGAACTATTTCATCAATTGCCATCCCATCCTAATCATGATAAACAGCTAAGAGATGTACCACCTTAAATTTGGAGAAATTTCGCACATAGCTGTACTTTTATGCAGGTAAAGGCAAGACTCCCTTGAATTTAGCATTTCCATTTGCTAAAAGTATATTTCTTTGAAAAGAGAAGTCAATGCGATCAACATGGCTACAAAAGCTAGTTTACAGTAAGTAGGATGACTTTAGACATGTTTATGTTAACTACTGCCAGTGTTCTATAAACTGATGTTTAAATATTAATTACATAGAACTCAACCGAATCTCTTAGGCTTTGTTTGGGACAGCTTAGGATCACTATTTTTTTGCTTATTTCAAAAGAAATTTGTTCTAAAAAATCACTGTAGAAACACAGTAAAAAAACTATCCAAACGAAACCTTAGACTAGATAGGTTTAGTCTGATCAAGCTTAAAGAGATGAAACTCAAATTCAAGGGCTATTGAGTAACTGCAGAGAAGGAAAAGTTCATTTGTTGGAAGCTTATTAAACATTTTTCTCAGTACAATACAAGATGTTAGTATCCATTGATGGAAGCTTAGCAAATAATGAAGTATTTGATATCCAAAATGTAATAAAAGGGCCCTGAAATGGACAGAATGGTCAATTTAAACAACTGGATAGGGGAAGCCATCATTCATGAGGGGACCTCTTTCCTCATTTTCAGCATCCTCAAAGCTGCTAATGTCAAAGCTATGGCAAGCATATCATAGTCTTTTGTGGGGTCAGCACAAATTTGAATGACTTTTAAAAGCATAGGCTACTTAAGATTTGAAGGAATTAATTTCATTTTAGATATTTAATTTTGATGTAAGTAAGAAAAAATTAGATGTATTTAGGTAATGTGAAAGAGAGATTTCTAGTAGTTTGGCCCATAGACGTGCATCCACTTCTAGGGCAAACAAAAAATATAACCAAATACAAAAATAAATAATAAATCATAATTTATGAAACACAAATGAACATAGAAGATTTACATGAAAAACAAAAAAAAAAGGGAAAAATCATCAGGGAGGTGAAAGGATAGCTGCACAATGGAGAAAACAAAAGGTGAAGTACAAAAACCGGCACCAACCATAAGCCCTTTACAGTATATTTATAGGACAAAATTAAGGCACTGAAAAATAAGCAGAATGCCAAAAATACCCTTACAATCAAAATGGCAAAGTTAGGTCGAATCCCGCAAGTGGGTGCCGCCCCCTTGGACACCCGATGCACAAGGACATGAACAAATAAGGATCGAGCCAAATTTAAGGCAACTCCAACAGTTTATATAGCTTTTCTCGAAAAGAAGAAAATGGTACTCATGTGGGCATTTTGATCTTATGTGAGAAACATGTTGGAAATTCTTCTGTCAGATCAAA